CGTGGAGCGTTGCTCGTCTCGGGGAGCCTCTCGATGATACCAACATCGATCCCTGCCTTGCCTAACTTGAGGGCCGTGAGACAGCCGACCGCGCCTCCGCCAATGACGAGAACACGGTCTGAATCTCCGGCAGGTTCGCCACCATTGATAACATCGGCCTGTGGCTCGAGTGGTCCAGTATCGTTGGTTGCCCGTTCCTCCGATCTAGTTGTCATTGTGTAACAGTATTGACGGAGCTACTACTTTGTGCAGTCTTGATGAACGAACCTAGAAAGACGAGGAGCATAGACATTCTCACGACACATTACAGTATATAGGGGATCTCATAAGACGGGAGCACACAGTCAGGCCGGCACAGACTTGGGCCGTAGGGCTAGCTGTGCCGTGCTAGGACATATGAATACGACCCTTGTATTGCCTGCCTGGCCTCACAGAATGCAGTTTCGCTGGTCGCCTAATGCTGGTGTCAGGATCGTCCAACGGGAGGACACTCTGGAGTCGGCCTCGACGAGATGACAGCCGAGACCGGGACATTGTGTGTGGCCGTGTCGTATCATCGCCCCACTGGATCGTCGCTGGCGAACTGGGAACCACCATGTGATGGTCTGTGATCTTGTATCCCGGAAAAAGGGGAGACTTTGTGGGGAACATGACGAGGCTGAGATGTTGTGGCTCAGGGCGGATCTGATTGGCGGAAGCGGAGCCTCGTGCTTGTTTACTTTTGGGCCGCTTTCGCTTGGGCATTTTCTGGGATTGGCCATGAGTAGGGGAACCCAACACATTATTTGTCAAAAAGACATCCTTCACCATCGTTCACACCGAGTGCGGTGTGGTGTTGACCCCCGGCTTTATTTGGTTCGAAATGGCCCCTCCTCCTCCTTCGCGCGACGCGGCCAATGACCTCTCGCCCAACTCATCGTCCTTTCTCTCCTCGACTTCCAATCCCAATCCAGTCGCCGCGGGCTCGGTGCGAAGAAATCTGTTTTCTGCACATCTGTCGCGACGCCCGGCCTCGGGGGCACAACCGCAAGCACAGACAACCAGTCAACCTCGACGACATGAATCGCAGTCGCAAAACCAGGGGCACCAGTACGGTAGTAGTCTCCCGCGCCCTCGAGGTCACCAACGCTCGGTATCCACGCCGTCGCTCTCGCCATCTCCTTCCCGGTCATCTCCCTTTCATGACACCGCAGACAATGGCAACAGCTCTACCTTCATCCCCCATCCAATACCGCAATTCTCGCCGCCCCACCGCGCAGCTCTAGTAGATGGTTACGACCCTACAATTTCTCCCCATCGACCGCTCAGTCCTCGATCCTCCGCAGCCCTCTTCCCTAATCAGTCTATTGTCGCATTGAATCCGCTCACGGGCCGTCCCGTGCTGCCCAAGATCCCCGTCCTCCCTGGCAGACTCAGACTGTCGGACTCGGATGACGGACTTGGAGATGAACATGCAATGAATGGAGGAGACGAGGAGGAGGATGGCGATGAGCATGATGACGCCCACCAACACGATTTCTCGGACGATGACGACTTCCATGACCACGTTGCCCAATCACACCCCCGAGTCGCGGCAGGCCGGAGAGCGCGGGGCCATGATGCTTATGGCCAACCGTCGTCACACATCACAAGAGGAGACCATGAGCACGTCGCGGCGATGGCCACCGAGGCGGAGGTTGAGGCGGACGAAGAACGACGAGACCGTGAACGTATCGAGCGGCTCCTGCGCGAGATGATGGCGCGACAACGTGCGCGGGCTAAGGGCAAAGTGTCGACTTCGGCTGCCGTTGACGAGGACGAAGAGCTCGAGAGGGACGAACTGATGGGCTTGATCATGGGGAGTCTCCGCAGGGAGGTGGCCCGGGCAGAGGAAGAATCCTGGATGTTTGGCGAGTCCTTGGGCATGGGAGGAACAGCAGGGAGGGACGAGGTGGGTGTATACGAATGAGGAGAAGGCTGTTTCACAAAAGTGCACGGATTGGTTTTCTGTCTATTTCGTCAAGCATGGTGTACAATACAAACATGGGCGGAACTTGCGGCGACGGCGGATGCTTTTTTTTTTTTTTTTCATTATTATCATGTGGACCTGCGCCAGTCTAGAGTCCAGAGTCTAGCCACAAGGAGTGAAGCGACGGCGCTGTCGTGAAGGCGAATGCGAGGATGGGCTTTGCCGGATTATGAGATCAACGATACCATGAAGCGGATACTGGGCCTGTACACAATACAATGAACAATGCATTGATACCTGCCTACCTACCTACCGGTCGGATTAAACCAAAGGTGTGGCTAAGTCGCACCGTGACAGAGACAATACACATACAGACACGTATCAGGTGGTTGGGAGAGAGAGGAAGAGAGATATCTTGTATTTGTACAGGGTACGCTCCTTGTACACTGCATTGCACCTGCACTGCACTACACAAGTCATTCCCCCCTCACCCAATACCTACGTATATTGTAGATATATAACCACAACCCCCAACATATCCCTCCGCAATCGACCACAGGGTACTAGAAAACAGGACTTCCCGTCTGCTCAGTCGTACTTAAGCTATACCCCGGCCAGTCAGTACCACGGTGGGAGACCACGTGGGAATCCTGGCTGTCGATTGTTTTTGTTCCTCTGCCAAACAAGGGGTGTCGTGGTCGCGGTCGCGGTTGTGAGTGATTGGGCTATACCAAACATATATACAATACATACCTAGGTCGTCATGGGTGTGTATTTCGGTGCGAACCCTTTGGGTAGAAAAACACGGAAGGGTGAACATTCCTTCTTTGGCCATTTACTCCTCGCTCAGGATCTTGTCGTGGGTGGCCCATGGCGGTGTCGAATTTATAGTCTGGTTAAAATGGGCGGGGCGGAACTCGAGCGGGGTGGAGCGGAGGCGAACATAAAACAACAGAACGAACAGAGGAGTGTCCTGTATGGTTCTCATCAGTCGCACAGAGCGATATTCTCTGCTGATGTCACACCCGATCATGACCGTGGCCTTGCTTCATGTCTCAGTAATCACCACTACCGTCACTACCCGCAAACCCAGCCACGATCCCAAAACTATACGCTCAAGACTTCAATCCAAATCCATTGTCGGAGGCTTCTCGATTTCTTTTGGAGGGGCCTTGCTGCCACTTATTGCAGGCTTCGGTGTGCCCGATCTTGGAGTCGCCGCTTTCGCCCCCGGTTGCTGCCCGCCGAAAAGCATACTGCCCATCATATCAAACAACGGATTCCCAGTATTCTGCCGGGGAATCTTGATTCCGAACCAGATCTCTCCAATATGTGCCAAAGCTTCACTCCACAGTCCTTCGAGTTCCTTCAGATGCGGGGCGTAGAACTTTGCGAGCTGGCGGAATAAACTGGCGTCGCCTTTCTGACAGGAGAGTAACAAAAGAGACAGGAAGTTGAGGAGTGGGATCGAGGGGAATATTCGCAGTGAGAGGCCCGATTTGGCGGATTCAAGTGGTTGAGACATGGACAGTAAATTCGGGTTTTGTGTTGTGAGGTGCGATGTAAAGGTTGACAGGGCGAGGTTTGCGCTGGAGAGATTCCCAACCAACAAATAGGGAAGAACGGAGCGGGAGGCGTAGATGGGTGCAAGGTGCGGCTGGTCCAATTTGTACCAGACATAGTGTAAGCTGGCGAGGACAGGGGCAGATTCTGGCGTGCCGATGACGAGATGTCGTTCGGCGTCGTATGCTTCGCCCTCTGTAAAATGTCAGAGACTGTGTCCACATCGACATTCTAACGAGGAATCCCCCCCAAACCTACCTTCCGCGAGCACTTTGCCCACCTGGTGATGAATCTCTGGATCTCCCCTTTCCAAATCCCCAAATTTCCCACTCCAGTTAACCATTTCGGTCACGAATCTCTTCCTGGTCGGTTCCTCTTTGGGGAAGGCATGGAATATCTCCAACAGTCTCTTTTTGTTCTCGTCGTCGCATCCGTATTCGCCCTTGACGTAGACGTCGTTCAACAGCATGAGCGCCAAATCGCCGCCTGAGCCACCCTGGTCGGCGCGGAGGAGAAGGAGGGCGCCATTGTAAAGCACGTCGCAGGCCGAGTTGTAGTCGGAGGCTTTGAGATAGCGGGCGGTGATGACACGGAGTTGCTGGTGTGCCTCGTAGAAACTCCCTTCGGCAATCCTGGAAGCCTCGTGTTAGAGTCTCTGTGCGTGAAGCAACGAGGTGTTTGAAACTGCCACGTGCTACGGATTGGCTGCAGCCCGAGGGGCATCGAGCTCAACAGCGGTCTGTTCATATCGAGGATTCCACGTACTTTTCTTTCTGGCGAGCGATAGTCTTTGCTATCTTGGCCGACATGACGCGAATGTGGTTTAGGATATTATGGACAAACTGATCTTGGTCTTGAACGGCTGCCTACACTGGTGAGGAGAGAATCAGATTGAGGTTTGGGGGGTTGCAGATCAAGTCGACGTCATGCTGCTTTGCAGGACTTGGCAGCCTCGTCGGCGGTTCAGCCTTGCCGTCCTCTACAATTGACCCTCGATATCTACCAGGTCCATACATACAGCACACACGCATCTCGTCTTTGGGTGGTCTCTGCCACGACTTCAATGCATCCAAATCGTACTGCGCCACAGCTCTGCTAAGTGAAAATAAATCGTCATTGTCTGGAAATCTGGAGCATGGCTAAACGCTCAACATTCAAAGACAGCAATGCGTGATATATGTGCTGCAAGTAATATAGAAAAGGGGACTAGAGGACAGCAGCCCCCCTTGACCCAAACATTTCATGACCTTCTCGACATTACCCAGCCGTATACTAAACCCGCAACGAGCCCGCTGCCAGAGACAAAAGGAAAAATGCTGGCCACTCCACTGAGTGTTTGGTTCCAATTGGCGACGAACTCCGTGTATCATGCGCGCTCGAATGGAGACGAAAACGTATAAAGAAAAACCCCAGCCCGCACCGGGCAAGAGTCATGTGCGGAAAACAAAATCCCTCCTCTTTGACTCCCAACCGATAGAAGATTCTTTTTTCATGCTGCCTTTTCGTCCTCCTCGGCCATGCTCTCTAGGCTTCCACCACCTCCACTAGCAATGCTGCGATTGCTCTTGTGGGTTCTTGGATTGGAGCCTTGGCCTGAACCGCCTCCTTTTTTGGGCGTGCCGTTCTGCACCGGGGTTGATGTTCTTTCGGTGCTGGGGTTGGTTGTTGTCGACGAGATTGTTGTGGTGGTGTTGTTGGATCCGCTGCTTGTTCCACTATCCTTGTCCTTCTTCGTGGTCGGGGGAGGTCTCGAGAACATGGCTTTGAGTGCAGCCTTCGCTTTGGCCTTTTCTTCTTTGTCGTCGGCTGCTTTCTTGGCCGGATCTTCATTATTCTTGTCCTCGGCATACTGCTTCCATTTCCTCCACCCATCATAGTCAATCAGTGCTTGCATACAGCCCCATTCCGTGACTTTACGCTCCATCCATACAAAGTTGACCGGCTGCAAGGAGAAGGATTAGCAACAGGAAGAAAGCTTGTGGAGGAGGTGGGATGCATACCTTTGTCAAGAAGTCGTTACAGCCAGCAGCTAGAGCCTCATGCCTATCACTCTGCAAACTACTTGCGGTCAAAGCCACAATAATGACAGGACTTTTGAACAGGCTGCGGTCGGGGAGGGCATCCGCCTCGCCTACAGGGCTTCCGTTGACCTGGGGGCTCTTCAAGGCGGTCTCGATAGGGCTGCCACTGAAAACACCAATGCCATTTACGGCCTCGAGGCGTCGAATCTCTTTGGTGGCTTCCAGCCCATTCATGACCGGCAGTTGGATATCCATCAAAACCAAATGGAATCCACCTGTTCTCCACATAGCCACTGCTTCTTTACCATTCATTGCAGATTTCCATCTCACCTTTAGGCGTTTCATAAAGGCCTCGAGCAGCTTCAGATTGATTACATTGTCTTCCACCAACAAGACGTTGATCGGTGGAACTGTTCCGTCCAACAGACTTGCGGCAGCGGGGAGAGACTTGGGAGCGGCTTGTGGGTCACCGTTGACGGACCGACCAAAGGCAGGACCTTTTCGCCTCCTCAATTTTTGCCCCGGATGTGGAGATGAGACTCGGTTAGGGGGTGTGATCGAGGGGTTATGTTCATTCGATCCCTGGGCGGGCGGTGTAGGAAGAGGAGCTGATGAAGGTGCGGGCCCGTTGAGCTGTGCTTTGGATTCTGTACATGAAAACTCAGCACCGATCCCCGACCTTAACCGCCGGATCACAAAAACATACCTATAACTTGACCATTCGGCTGAACGGTATGGAGGATGGTGGGACTGCTTGTGTGCTGTCGTGCATATTTCGGCCTTGCGTGTCTTCTCTGGCCATGTGAGCCGGGACTAGGTAAAGGGGGCAGCTGGCCGGTGGTCAAGACGGCCATGGAATGAGCCGAATTAGGATGCGGAACGTGGGCTAGGTGAGGAGAGTGGAGCGGCATGGGTGGGAAGTACTCTCGCGCAGCGTCATCGGGGCGGTATTGGTCGGTATAGTAGTAGGAGACCTGGTGGTTTCCAGGGCGAGGAGAGGCGCGGGGGGTTCTGCGGGTAGCCACTTCGATAATGAGGGCTTCGTCGACCTGCTGGCCGCCGGGATAATAGGCATCGAGGGTGGCGCCGATGGGTTCCTCGGGACCCAAAGCACGCTCAGCGTTCACATTTTTGTTGCCATGTTCTCGGCTAATGATTTTGAGGGTGATGTCTGGAGCGTCGATGCTGCGACCCAGCGAGTTGGCGTATTTTTGCAGAATGACATCGCGGACGTTGTCGACCAGGTCATCTTCGGCAACTTCGACTCGGGTCGGAGAGGCGCCGGGTCGTTTCACCCATATTTTTCTCTGCATAACGTCGAGCGTCTCATGTCGAAGGCATTGTACAGAGGAGAGGGTCGGGATAGTCGGAGTGGAAGGACGTTGAATGCGGACCTCAGGACAGAAGGATTGAGCGAGGGCCGGGGACGAAGGAGGAGCAGGTCCAGTCGGTTTTGAACTGTCGAGAGAAGCCGTCGTAGGAGCAGTGTTTGTTGTCGGAATGGAGGTTCTGGTGTCGGCGGTGGTGCTGGAGGTGGTGTCTGGGTGAAGAGAAAGTGAAACTGAACGAGAAGCTGGAGCCGCACTGGCCAAGGTGGATTCGGGATCACTAGGCTCTGGCTCTGGCTCGGGCTCGGGCTCGAGTCGGGTGGGTGTTGTGGGTGCAACTGTGGCTGGTGCAGTGGTGGTGTTGGTGTCCCCCGTGTTGCTATTGGGCGGCCCCAGCGGCAGCGGTAGATCTTTGGGCTTATTAGGCCTCTTTCTAGGGGCGACCTGAGGCGATGTGGTGCTCGGTCGCTCGGGACTCTGGGCGTCTTCTACGGGAGTACTCCTTTGCTTGCCTGTAGATTTGGTGCGTGGTCGGCGATAGAAATTCAAGCTGGCGAGGGTAGACAAGGTGGGAAGACTGAAGCCACCAGACGAGCGTTGACGGGGTTGGGTTTCATCCTGGGCGCTGGTGGCGTTATCCGTGGGCGCGGCGCTTGCACTCAGGCTGCGGAACAGAGGAATGCGCGGACGTTGACGGGGTCTCGATAACGGCATCCCGGGGGACTGGACACACAGCTGGAGGAGGAAGGACGATGGCAAAGGCTAAGGTAATGGTGGTGGTAGAGGAACCCCCCATTCCGAGAAAATGGTCATCCCTTCGTTTCAGTTATTCATGGGGAAAGCAGTGCGGAAGACGAGGGAACTGGGGTTGCTGGCGGCTCGTAATTCAGGGTACGAGGTTTTCAATGGTACCAAGCAGTGGATCTGCCTGAATCTTATGTACCTGGCTGTTCTGCGTGGTGTGGTGTGAGCTGGAGAAAGCTCGAGGAGCTCGAGGAACTGAAGGAGGAGAAGCTGTGACAGGATGGTGCAGCCACCACTAGGTATGAGGTGGTCGAGGTGAACAATATCTAGGAGAGTGATGGATGTAGAGAGCAGCCGAAAAGTATTTTGTACGAAAACCGAGTAATGCTCTTTGTGTTTGTAGTGGATGTAGATAGAGTGACTGCGCTCTCTACTTAGGTAGATTGAGTGAGTCCCTGACAAGCTCTCACTCTCAATGTCTGTCTCTGTCTATGTATCTGTATGTCTCTCACTCCCTACCTCTCTTGCTCTCAATCCCACTTTCACTCTCAACTCAGACGGTCTCTCTTCTGCATTTCCCCCCACCACTAGCTACATTACTCCTACATAACCACCATGCCCAGTACCTAGCTATCGCTCGCTACCGACTCATCCTCCGTTCCGACATGTCGCTGCCACTCGCTACCAGGTGCCGCCAACACCGCCGTATCGCAGCTCGCCCAAACTCTATCAACCAATACACCGAGGCCATCAAGGCCATCATCCACTTCTCCATCACCACCACCTACTAGATCTGCAACGCATCTCGATCAAAACGGCTTCAATTTCTCATCTCGTTTCTGTCTCTCTCTCCGCCGACTTCTTGTCTATCGAAGCGTGACCCTAACACCTAGCCAAGCAGCAAATCACCATTCCCCACTCTATATCAATCAATTAGAAACAAATGTCCGATGAATCCTACTCCATCGCCCTCCTCCACATCCACCTCCGCATCATGTCGACCAACCCTTCCGTCGATCGTGCCGTCGCTAACTACATGCCTCGCTATGGTTCGAAAGCTCTTACTCATCCAGCTTCATTGTTAACAAAGCAAACACAAATCAAATCAAATGCGCACCGTCCTAATGAGCTCCTGTGTGTGTGGCCTTTGCTCTTCGTCTCATAAAATATCCATGCAATGGAGGTTGCTGTTCATCACAACTCGAATGCTCCTCCTCCCAGTCTTGCGCAAATGATCCCTAGTCCAGCATCGCCGTCGCCATCAGGGCACTGTCCTTTCAATTGCCAAAAGCAACCATATGTCCACCCTCAATCCCCAAAGTGCCCAATCCATAACTTCCCATGACCCATAATGTCAATCAGCTCCATCCCGCCAATGCCCAAAATGAAACAAAATAAAACAGTCGCTTCGATAATGACAGTGAGTACATCATGGTAGAAAAATCTGCCCCCCTGGTGTCTGGTTCCTGTGGTTCCCTCCCAGGCCGCAAGAGTCTCTCTGCAGCCCAGACCGAATCAGAAGAAATAAAAACGCCATGTCGCTTGCCTGCCTGCTTGTTGTGTGCTAATGGGGGAATCTTTGGTGCTTGAAAATCAATCAACGACAGTCTCGCCCATGTCGGCTCCTCAGCCCGAATTCCCAAAAACACATGCTTCCTGCCCAAGTCCCGAGTTGGACAGATATATGCTTGCCCCATAAAGCAGTTCAAATATCACTCCCATGCTAGACTTGCCTACCATGCTGTAAACAGGTTAATGCGTGCATCCCCAAAAATCCAATCCCTCCTCCGGGTCTCCGTCTCCTTCACCTTCCGAGCATGTAGTCGGGATACATTCCTCCAGCCCCAGCCGGTCCTGGGGTTCCGCTATTCATCGACATGCCTCGTATATTGGGCGCCGGGCCGCTTCCCTGGGGGAACCCCTGGTGCACAAAGGCCCCCGGTGGAACACTTGCGCCATTCATTCCGGCCAGGGACATATTGAGTCCCGGCGGAACCGACAAGCCTGGCGGTGGTCCGCTGGCCGTGGAAAAGCCACCAGGGGAGACAACATTGCTGAATCCGTTCGCGCTCATCGGCCCCGTGGCGCTGAGGGGCGTGCTTGGGTTGTTGCTCCCGGGCTGACCTGCTCGCACTCCCAGGGGGTTCTTCGAGAAGCTCAGTCGAATTCCTCCCTTGACACTGTTATGGAGCTGCGCTCCGTATAGTTCATTCAGAGCCTTGGTTGCAAAGGAAATGTCTTCAAACTCCACAAAACACATGGGTCCATTCTGTTTGGTGCGGAAACACAGCCTCTTGTACCCGCGCTGCTTGGAAAACATGGCTTTGAGCTCGTCCTCCGAGGTGTCGATTGGGAGGTTACCCACATACAAAGTGTTACAGGGTGGGTTCTGGTCGGCCGGGTTGACAGGCGGATAGTTATGTCGTAGGTAAGGTTGAGAAGGGACCGAGTAGTGGCCGTTGAGCCCCATTCCAGGAAATTGTGAATGGGGCGTGCGAGACCCGACCGCAGATCGGGGAGATGCATAATTAGAGGCTGCCCCGTTACCAATATTGGTATTCAGTGAGAGAGTTGAGAAGGCAGCGTTAAGCATGTGCGGATTTGTCGGTTTTTTGCCGCTCGGGTGGCTTGACGAGCTGTTCAGATACGCCAGGGGATCCTTGAGCAGATCGCCCGTATCATCGTCGGTACCATCTTCATTGATCACCTTCTTTCCACTGGCTCGAGGGCGATCGGCCAGGCCGCTCGGTACCGGCGATTGGGGTGAGAAGATTGTCTGCAGCTGTGAACTGGTATCTGACGACACTAGTTCCGGTGGAGATCCCACAGGAGGAGGAGATGTCTTGTCCATGGACTGAAAGGTGCCATTGAATCTTGAGGACTTCTGAGCACTGGTCATGGATGGTGACACCGATTGGCCTAATTTGCGACTGGCCAGGGGATCAATAGTATTGCGTCGAGGCACTGCGGCCAGGGACGGACTGCTCGTTATTTCCACGATCATTTTGGCCTGCCCGGCCGTGTTCGACTTGCCATCAAGCATGGTTTGTGCCTCAGTTGCCCCAGCCATGGAACCAAATCGAGCGATCGCGGTAGTGAAGCCAGCATCTTCCTCATATTCGTTCGGAATGATCTCAGTGTCCTGTAGGTCTTTGGCAAATAATAGCATCGTGCGGACCGCCTCAAGAGTCGTATTTCGTGGCAGACGTCGCAACAAAACTGTTGGCAGGCCCATAATGGCAGCTTCATTCGCGCTAGACAACCGCCTATCGACGGGCGCACCTTCGAACCCTGAAGGAATTACAGGCATTTCATATGAAGCCGACAAACCGGGATGCAGTCGAGGTTCTGGGAAATTGAAAGCAACCACACTCATACTTTAGACGTGCGAGGAGGGGGAAGAGGATGCCGGACCTTCGTCGACCACAAGCCCAAGCTGAACTGTAAACGACAAGCCTCCGTTTGGCTGTACAATGTCAAGGATGGACTGGAGTAACACTTTGCTTGCAAGGAGGTTGATTGAGCACTATGCAATTACTCATTCAGAATCAAAATCGGTTTATCGCTCCTGACTTTGAGGATGTGCTGATCCCGAGTACAGAGTCACTCGCCAGATTGCTGTCCGAAAGGGCCTTCGAATACGGCACCGACAGATTCCGAAGTCGGTGGGGAGATATGTGTCTCAGTGTCTGAAGTGTCAAGATCAAGGTGATACTTGTGATACCTGAAACGACGAGAGCAGCGGCTCGGATGGTTTCCGGTACAAAATAGTTGATGTGGTTATCAATCTCGAGGGTGATGCGACAAGTACCGGTAAGTACTAAAACGATACGCAAAGGAAAGAGAGGAGTATCCACCAATGGGTTGAATGTGCTTCGGCCGTCGCAAAGAGAAGTGGCCAGCTGACACGAGAGAGAGCGAGGACAACGAAAGTCCAAAAGTAGTCAGATGTGATGACAATATCCTGAGGGTGTAGCGACAAGGTGTGAGAGAGATGTGTGAAGAGCGAAGGGCGGGAATGGAACGGAGAGGGCAGCTCAGTCGGAAAAGGGCTGAAGATTCCAAGAAGTTGAGAAAGATGCAGAGGTGGGATAGCGATTCTAACGACACGGAATAATTTGGCGGCGACCACTGACCCTGTCGATAGGGAGCGATAAAGAACGGCTAGGCCTGGGGGAGCCTTTGTTTGGCAGACGCCAGGATGATCAATCGTGCCAATCCGACACCGTGGTGGCTTTCAAATGGGCTCCAAGATGCCTCACACCAAGCTCGAGGCGCAGGGTGGGCAGAGAAGATACAAATCGCGATCGCGCGGCGACCGGGTGGTGGAGATGGGAGCCGGGCAGTAGGGCCTGGTACGTACCACGCTAAACAGGCCGCAGTGCCCAAGCTGCTGAGTGGTGGAAGCTGGGAGGGGTTGGTTTGGCTGCTGATATTGGCCCTGCCCAGATATGTAAGCTTCCACCGTGTGTCCACCGCGAGCAGAGATAAACGCGGAGAGCTGATCAGTGGGTACCAGAGAAGGGGAGCACTCACCCTACTGCACAAAACCAAAGACACGGGACAGGTCGCTAGAGAAATCGAATGGTCGCGGGGGAGAAACGAATCCGGATCAGGCTGTGAGGATTGAGGCGAGGACGAGGGAGGAGCCGGCGGTCTGGCCACGGGGTTTGATGGATGGCGCAAATCTAACGAGAGCTATCGCAAGCTGTGGTGTAATCTTTCACCAAATGATCCCTTAAAGAGCCGGTTGCGGTTGGATATGGAGATGGGACGAACTTCGAGGAAAAAGAGGGATGCCGGTTACGAGTAACTCGGAACGACGCCTGTCAGTGGTTGTACAAGTAGGATCAGGGTATCCGTTGGGCGATTGGGGGGTGATGTTGCTAGTACTCGATGTGGTTCTGGGAGCCAGTGTGAGTCCCAAGGATCTGGTGGAGAGTTTGAAGAAAGAGTACGAGGTACTCGCAGGAAGCGATGCTGTCCCCCCGGCCGTAAGTGGCTGGGCGCTGTAGGGGGAAGAGTCTTAGGTGCGCAGCCAACGGGCTAGTGGTGATGGTGAACGTATCCTATCTGGTCAAGGGCGATGAAGTCTGATGCCTGAGGCAACCGAATGGGAGACGCCAAAGATACAGAATGGCACCGTCATTGGATCGCTGTCTGAAAATCCGCAAACGTAGACAAAGGTAGCCGACAGGTTGAGGAGAAGGACAAAAACGATACTCCGGAAGTTGGTGTCCTTTCTGAGGCGTTTCTAGGTGTGGAAGCTTGGTGACAGGAACAATCGAGCACCAATAACAGCCTGTTGGACTGCACCACTTCTGCAGCGACTTGTTTAGGCCAATTTTGCACCTTTTGAAGCCCGTGAGTGTGTGCGTTCCCTGTGTCTGTGTGGCGCTATGTGTACCTCTTTTTTTGCTCCCTTTGTTGACCACACTTTTCTTGCTCTTTGAGGACCCTGTCGACTTGGACTTGAGATCCACGGACCGGCCAAAGCTGCGCCAAACTGAGTTTTGGAGCTCTTCCGGGGGAAGCAATAGCTCTCGGAGTTCGGAGGGTACCTGGTGATAAGCATCCAAAACGCACGTCCCTTCTAGCCCCGTCGGTTGCCTCCCAGGCTTTCCAGAGGCAACAGAGTTGACAGGGTCAAGGTAAGTCTGGCATATCCCTGCTTCCCGCCCATAAGGCTAGGGAACGTTTCCCACTCCTCCTTTTCCTCCTACGCCTGGTTGACATGATAACGCGGGATGCTGACTCCGTAAGGGTTTGACTCGATCTTTGAGTGGTTCCGGCGAGTGTGTATTTTACCACGCCAGCTGGGTGGCACCATCGACCGTTCTTCCTCAGAGTTTGGGTATCAATGACCCTGAATGACAGTGACTGCACTGCCTGAGCTTGTGATTACCGACCCCTCAATCAGCCAAAATTCGATCCTTTACCCACCGCCAGATCAGCTTTCCAGCTGCTCCAATTCACTAGTATCAAAAGAGGGGGGTCTCTCGGGTTCTGGATTTTGGGCAACCAAAAGGCCCATTGGGTGCTTGTCGTGTTAAACCTCCGATTGGGCGACTCCCCTTATGTGAATGGGAAAGGGGGGTGGTGGTGGGTTTGTGGGATTCATTCTGAACATCCCCCGGATGTCCACCAGTTACTTCTCGTAGCTCTTTTCTGCTAACCAACAGCGGTGGCAGTCAACCACGTGGGGTCTCGTAGGAGTTTTCTCATGGTTCGTCTCGTTGCTGCTCCTGATTGGCATAATATGGGTGCTGGGTCTGTTTCTAATAGGTAGGCATCAGCATGAGTTTGAAGGCTCCTGGAATCTCTCAAGGATTTGTCCAGCTTAACTTTTCTCACGACCACAACCGACACTGTATTCCATGACTGTAGGTATCCTGGTCGCTTTAGCCGGAGCCGCAGCCCAATGCTCGGTACCTGAAACCGCGAGGGGTAGCGCTCAATGATCTTCCTCAACCCGCAGTTACTGCTTAGTTCTTAGCCTGCAGCTCAGGATGGGATGGATGCGGCCACTGATAGGGCCCGCGGCATCCCCCAAGCTGCATTCCCGCAGCCCCGAGTGTCGAGAATGGGAAAGGACCTCTTCGGCGCGAGGCGGAGACAACAGCATGTCAGCTTGGACACATTGGAACGAGGGTGCGTCGACTGGCCACTGGCCACACAAACGGCGAACCGGACAGTGTGAAGAGTGTCTGTGCCGTGTGTCAGTACGAGGGCTCCGCTGCGATCCCAATCGTCTTCCAACAGGACTTTCACCACAACTGACTGGTTCGCAAGTTTACTAGCAATGCTCGTAGTGGAGGGGTGGATGGGGCACCGAAAATGGTATTTCGTGAGTCGTAGTTTGTCGTAGTTTCCTTGAAGACGGCAACATTGCCCGCTGTTGAGTTTCGCTAGTCGAAGAGACAAAAGAGTCAAAGTTGCTCCACGCTGGCCTCCCTCCCTGCCTTATGCCTCTCTCTACAAAAATCGCCTTGCTTACTAGTACATCCATGGGGCCCGGGCAGAGCCAATGCTGCAGTCATGTGCAAATGCTCTGGGTGGTCAAAACTAATTCTCATTCTCCTCCCCACCTCAAATGTAGTCCAAGTACTGCCTGTACCCTTCGGTATTATCCTGGCAGTTGGATTGGCAAGCCACCCACCCACCATCACATGGACCAGCGATCAAGGTTTTGTTGTGTAACCCAAGGGCTGGTGGCGCTCGAAAAAAGGTCCATCCCTTTCCTCGTGCAACCTTGCACTCCCGGAAGTGACAAACAAGAGAGTGCGAAAGCCCGTATCCTTGAACCTTGTGTGGCATGAACAGCTCTCGAGATGCCTATTCAAAAGTCCACCCAGGAAAACATTTCCCCCTCCAATTGGGCATCGTGTCTGGGCAGTGAGAGAACGTCCAACATTGGTATCGTGACATGGCTTCCTTGGGCTTGACATCTCCTACACCGCATTCGCATCTTCAACTTCGAGAAAGCCACCACCAGATTCATTTTCTCCCTTACCCCTAACGGCATCCGACCCGTATCTCTGCAGCATCTGCTCGGCGTATAAGCCAATCTTATTGCCCTTTTTCTCGAGCATTTCCTGCTTGCTGATGCTTTCCTCGTATGAAGGTGGCTGTTCCAGAGAGTGGCCCGAACTGTCTTCTGTTACGCCTTCGGGGGAAGCGTGGGCAGCCTCCTCGCGCTCGGGACTCGAAGTTGACATAGGGGTGAGTTCACGCACCGAGCCGCTGGAAGCTGTCGGGTCGATCAAGGGGATATCTTCGAATTCCGTCTCCGCTTCATGATCTGCAGCTGCACCAAGCAGTGGACCTTCTTCTTGTTGCAGTTCTTCCGCAAATGCCTGGTTATCGCGGTCTACAAAGTGTCGGAGGGAAATACTCAATTCGCCAGGTTGAAAGTTCATTGCGTTTTCGTTAGCATAAACCAGCAGCACAGAATTGTATTCTTTCTTCACCGCTTCCAGCACTTCGGCTTCCTCGACCCTTGTGACCGAGTAAAGGTTGGTCTCCGACATTTTGCTCGCCTCTGCCTGGGCTCTGGTTACAGGGCCCACCATTGGAGGACTATAGATGGCTGGTTGGGCATCCTCTTGTAACCATGCTGTTCTCCACCAATCGCCTTGCACGCTGTCCGGGTCCAGCATGTCATCGTCAATCAGCAGGTCGGTTCTTGTATTGTGTACGCGGAAATAGGTAACTCCAGGCTTGGTCGCAACGCCCTGAAGAGTGTATTTGCGATGCGGGAGGTCTGGCATCTCTAACGTGGGCTTTGTGAGGCGCATTGTGATTTGACGG